AGTGTGACTGTCCATGGACTAGTCTATACCTCTGCTTCCTCTTCTGTAAAATGGACTTAGTAACTAGATTGCTGTGCAGATTTAACACATCTGCAGGGTCAGGTATGTAAGTGTGGTAGTTTGAATGTAATCAGTCCCCATAAACCTATCTGGAGTGGCACTATTAGGAGGTGCGGCCTTGTTGGAGGAAGTGTGTCACTGTGGGGGCGGGCTTTGAGGTCTCCTGTGCTAAGACTTCTCTCAGTGTGATGCTGAGTTAACTTCCTGTTGCCTGAAAGATGTAGGACTCTCAGCTCCTTCTCCAGCACCATGTCTGCCTGCACGCTGCTGTGCTCCCCGCCTTGATGATAATGGACTAAACCTCTGATCTGTAAGCCACCACCTCAATGAAATGTTTTCCTTTATAAGAGTTGCCATGGTCATAGTGTCTCTTCACAGATACAGTAACCCTCGCTAAGACAGAAGTTTGTATCAGGGACTGGGGCATTGCTGTGACAGGCCTGACCATGTGTTTGTTTGGGGGGAATGTGGACTTTGGCACTTATGGTTGGGAAAGCAGTGGAAGGCTTTAAGCACTGTTTGATGGGCCATACTAGTAGGAGCATAGAAGACAGTGGTGCTGAGAATGATTTGAACTGTTGGGTACTAAGCTCGAGAGGTTTCAGAAGGAGAAGGATATTCATATGTGGCCTAGAGAACATTCTAGTGATATTTTGGGGATAACACAGGCTGCTTTTGTCTGTGTCTGACAAGTTTGCCTGAGTCTAACATGAAGAGCTCTGGATTAACTCTCTTGTCAGAAGAAATCTTTTTTAAAGGCCTAGTATTAGCCTGGACTCTTGGGGGAGGGCCTAGGCCCTGCCCTGAATGAAATGACAGACTCTGGAGATCCTCCATGAAGGGCCTCACCCTCCCTGGGCATCGGAGTGGGGATTGGGTGGGGAGCTGGGGGGGTCTGGCAAGGGGGATGGGGGAGGAGGGGAGGGAGAGGGAGCTGGGATTGACATGTGAAGCAAGCTTATTTCTAATTTAAATAAAAATGAAAAAAAGCCTAGTATTGACTCTGCTGTGTGGTTATTGGTGTTGACTCTAATGAAGATTTATAAGGAAAAGGAACAAGCTGAGCAAGGAAAAATATTTGGTGAGAAAAGGAGCACCAGGAAGTACAATAGAGCTAAGTCCTATGTTCAAAGAGATGAACACATTAAGAAATACAATAAATGAGTGGTTAATGAGCATTCTTCCCACCAGCCTGGTCCCAGAGCCGCGTCAGTCCCAAATGAACACGCAGGGCGCTATATTAACTATGAAGCTGTTGGCTGTTTTCTCTGGTTTCTTATTGGCTACCTCTGACTTAGTTATTAACCCATAATTACTAATCTATATATTTTTACAAGAACTTATCTTACCGAGGACACAGCCTCATGCGTCCTCTCTTCCTGGGATCACATGGCGACTCTCCACTCTTGGCTACATTTCCCAGAATCCTCCTTGACTCCTAGTCCCACCTATCTTGCTTCCCTATTGGCCAACAGTGCTTTGTTTGTCAGCCAATAGGACAAACATGTACACAGAAGGACTTCCCCCATCAAGTGGTGACCTCAGGACAAGATCCCACCCAGGTAAATTTCTAATTTGTGAAAAGGACTTAAAGTCAGGTGTGGTGGTGCATGCCTTTAATACCAGCACTGGGAAGACAGAGGCAGATGGATCTCTGCGTTTGAGGTCAGCCTGGTCTACAGAACAGCCAAGCGTAGGCAGCGAAAGGAAGCCATCAAAATGGAAAGTTGGTGAAGACGCAATTGAACAAGGGGGCCATGTCCTAGCCCCAGCAAGCAGCGGAACTTGGCGGCTTCAGCCTCATGGTTCTGGAGTTAAGGGTAGAGGAAAGGGGTTACAGAATTTGCCCCCGAGATGAAGGAAAGCCACCGAGGCCAGGCATGTGTCAGGGATGTCCCTGAATGGAAGTCTAGAGATGCCATTGCATGAAGATGTGAAGGCGAAGCCTGGATTGCCTTAGAGACCCCAAGATGTTAGAGATGCTGGAGCCGTGGGTACCTGTTGAGAAGAGCTGCTAGCAGGGAGGGAGTGGGGCCAGCCCAAGAGCTAGGAGCACATCAGACACGGAGATGGAGAGCTTGGAGTTTGCCCAGCTGGATTCTGCTCTCACTTTGGTCCAGTCTCTCCTCGCTGTGCTCCCTTCCCTACATTCTGGATAAGAGTTGTCATGATGACGGTGTCTCTTCGCAGCAATAGAAACCCTACGACAGTAAGTGCATAAGACCTGTAACTACCTAAACAACAACTGCTTCAAGTCTATTCCCCGGCCGTCGCACTTTGTGGTACCGCTGCCCAAATAGCCCACCTAGTTGTTCCTTGACTTTCCTTGTTTCACATTAGCTCATAAGCCCTGTTTCTTAGCTCTGTGTCCGGCCTTTCTGTGGCCAGGGACCAGAGCACAGGGAGGAGCTGAGCAGATGAATTGGCAGAGCTCCAGCAAAAGAGACTAGGAACAGCACTTCTCTTGCAGGGAGACGTTCAGTATACGGCACCTTGAGAATGGGGGGGAGGGGGTTGAGTTACAGATGTTCATGTCCTGTCAGTGCTGAGTGATGGGTTTGCTTTCTCCCACAGCGAGTTCCTTTATTTTTGGCCCTCTGCAACTCTTTTTCTTATTTCTTGGATCATGCTAACACATCAGTATGTTCTCTCTAGAGCTCTCCCCTCTCCTCCTGGGGTCTGCTTTCCAGACTATCCTGCGATGAGTATCCTCAGGATGGTGGATGATTGCCCAGGGGTCATAGCTTTCTGGCTTATTGGTTGAAAACTTGAATTTAAAAGTATCTTCCTGGTAGATTGACCCCAATTTAATTAAAAGGAAGTTTATCTGTAGTATAACTCCAGAATTTTGGATTTCAAACGCCTTTAATAAGAGGCGTAGAATTGTCACTTCTCCTAATCTCCGAACATGACTGTCTTTGTACCCCAGCCGCCTCTGTGGCTTTCTGCCATTCCCAAGCCCAAGTCAGAACTCTTCCTGCTTAGTTTAGTTTGTACCATCCACGAGTTCAGCTGTAGATCAGTTACCTATTGGGCTCCAAAGGGCGGAGTCCACCATGGTGGTGGTGGTGGTGGGCGTGGCAGCCAGTGGCAAGTTTGGCTGGAGGAGCAGGAGGCTGGGAGATGCATCTTCAGCTGTAGACACAGAGCAGAGAGAATGAACTTGGGGGGTGGGATGAGGCTGTATATTCTTCTTGTTCCCCAGACAGGGTTTCTCTGTATTGTTTTGGAGGCTGTCCTGGAACTCGCTCTGTAGACCAGGCTGGCCTCAAACTCACAGAGATCTGCCTGCCTCTGTCTCCCGAGTACCTGGATTAAAGGCGTGCGCTGCCAACACCCAGTGAGACTGTAAATTCTTAAAGCCCGCCCCCAGTATTGCAATTCATTCAGGGGTGTTTCAGTTTCCTAATAACCCCCCAAACAGTGCTACCCCACTGAGGACCGAGTGTTCAGATGCATGTAACCATGGGGGACAGTTCTCGTTCAAACCCTGCACACCTGCAGACAGGAACCTCCCGGACCGTGAGCCCAAACGGTCTATCTTCTTTACAGTTAATTTGTTATTTGTCACCGCAGTAGGAAGCTGTCACCCCTCCACTGCTCAGGTGCCTCCTGGGCTGACAGCTCACGGCGTCCTCATGACTGTGTTTTCGCGACACATCAGCAACACTCCATCTCCCAACTGTGTCCCCCAAATTCTCAACAGGCCAGAGCATATTTTTAAAGGAAAAAAAAGAAAACTTCTATGGATGTAAAATAAACATAGGCCAAACATTTATTTAATTCACTGATTCATGAGGGAACTAATAAGATATAATACAACTGGTTAGAAGGAAAATCCGAAGAGCTGACACATACACAGCTCATTAGGAATACTGACACAAATATGCTTAAGAAAAAAAAACAACTGAGAAACCAGCTTTATTAACTGGAGAAAGGAAATAGATTGAACTCTGTCTTAGGGTTACTATGGCTGCGATAAGACACCATGACCAAAGCAAGCTGGGGGAGGAAAGGGTTTATTGGGCTTATACTTCCTTATCACTGTTCATCACTGAAGGAAGTCAGGACAGGAACTCAAGCAGGGCAGGAACCTGCAGGCCGGAGCTGATGCAGAGGCCATGGAGGGGTGCTGCTTGCTGGCTTGCTCCTCATGGCTTGCTCAGCCTGCTTTCTTCTAGAACCCAGGACTAGCAGTCAGGGATGATATCACCCACCATGGGCTAGGCCCTCCAATATCAGTCAGTAATTGACAAAACCCCTACAGGCTTGTGTGCAACCCGGTCTTACGGAGCCATTTTACTAATTGAGGCCCCCAACTCTCAGATGACTCTAGCTCATGTCAAGCTGACATAGAAAATTAGCCAGCGCAGTCACTGTACCTCTGGGTATGAGCAGCTTACACTTCTACTAGTTGCCTACAACTTACAGGATTGTGTCTCAGAGGCCACAGCACACACAAGATCCCACAGCACCAGATACTCTCAAGCACGTGTTGGATACCTGGAAGACACCCACCAACCCGTTTATAAGTATGTTTTCTGACCTTATGTTCCTCTAGCTCCCTCTTTACTTGGTTTATCCATCCTGGATCCCAGTGGTTAACTTTGACTTTTTATCTCTTACTTCGAAGTCCCAACTGCCTCTAATAACCTGTCATCAATTTATCCAGAATGCATATTAATTTAAACTATACATTAAAAAAATAATTGATTTCTTATGTCTTGTGCTGGGTAGTTTTATGCCGTCTTGACACAAGCCGGAGTCATCTGAGAGGAGGGGGCCTCAACTGAGAAAATGTCTCTGTAAGACCAGGCTGTGGGCAAGCCTGTAGGACATTTTCTTAATTAGCGATTGGTGGGGGAGGGCCCAGCCCATAGTGGGTGGGGCCATCCTTGGGCTGCTGGTCCTGGGTTCTATAAGAAAGCAGGTTGAGCAAGCCATGAGGAGCAAGCCAGTGAGCAGCACCCTCCACGGCCTCTGCATCAGCTCCTGCCTCCAGGTTCCTGCCCTGTTTGAACTCCTGTTCTGACTCCCTTTGGTGTAAGTCTAATAGACCAACCGTTCCTCCATGAGTTGTTTTGGCCATGTGTTTCATCACAGCAATAGTCACTCTAACTAAGACATTCCTTTGAATAAAGTCAGGAAAGCACACTCTGGTATCTCGGCCTCTGGAACCTCCATCTTTCCGTTTATCAGGGCTTGGGAACTTGAACTAACTTCAGCTAGGCAATTTTTAAAATAGTTTCTTTTTTAAATACCGTATTTTAGGCTTCCGTTCCCTCACTACTACAACGATGGAGAGCTGAGCTCTGTTTATGTGTTCTCCTTGACAGCAGAGAAGGCAGCAGGAGCTGTGGGAGTCCATGGGCTTTGCTGCTTGCCAGACCTCTGTCTACCAGGGTCTCTGTGTGGAGTACCACCCCCTTTGCTCTTCCTTGTTCTGAGAATTCAGGGTTTTGGTGCTGGCGGCAGCTCACATGTGTCGGAAAGTCTCACAAGCCGGTGTTCCCTTTGCGACTTACCTTTTGTTGTTTTCTGCACTTGTCCTTGCCAGGAGGGATGTTTCAACAGGGCTCTGCATGTTCTGGTCACTTCATGGGTTTCTTCACTTTCTCTCTCAGCAGGGCAAGTCCTCCAAGCCTGTTCTTCCACAGTGCAGCATCTCCTCATGCAGGGAGATGGACTAATATTCTTGATCATTTATTATGGGTAGCACTTCCTAAAAGGTAGGCTTTCTAAGTGAGCTGATGGACAGAGAGGGCTTGGAAGGCGGGAACACATTGGCCAGGAAAAGCCTGGCTGTCGTGAGCAAATGAACCAGCATCGAAGAGCAAGAGGTCTGGTTCAGAGAAATCTCATGACAACGAGGTCATGTGTAGTGAATGCATCCAAGCGGGTCCACGGGTTATGTGCACAAAGCAGAATTACTATTTGGTTCTGAATTTTGCTCATTGTCAGATACAGAGAAGGAAGACCTCTTTGTCCTGGATTTTCTGGGTCAGATGGACAAACCTCTGGGTGGTCCAGGCTATAAATACTGCTGCTTATGAGACAATAGAAGATCCAGGATCCTTGGTTCCGGAGGAGGGAAAAGTACCTGCCTGGGGGAATCCAGGTAAAGTGGGTCTGTCTGCATCGAGGGAGGGAGGGAGAGAGGAAGGAAGGGAGGGAGGATACCCACCACCATGCCTGACTTATTCTATTAGTAGTATTTTTTTATTTATACTTATTGATCTTTAGGTTCATGGTTTATTCTCCATCTTTTGCCTTTTTATTTTCTATGGTTATTAATAATATAGCAGTTACCTTTTCTTGGTTTTCATTGTCTATATCCGTTTTTTGATGCTATCGCTATTATTGACGTTTGCTTTCTGTTTTCCAAGTGGTGTTGGGGATCGAGGCCTCCAGAGAAGGGTTTTCATCCTTCTGGAGACACAAACTGCAGCATAGAAATGCAAGAAACACGAAAAGCTAGACACACAGCGACACAAAATACAACTCCCGGACAAGCTCACAGCTCTTCGGTAACTCAACCCAAAGACAATGGAGTGGCAGACACGCCAGCCACTAGCATTCAAGTGTAAAGCCTTGTCTTAAAAAGCTGTGTGACCTCAAAGAGTATTCAGACAAGCAAATGGGATCAAGTCAAGATATGGACAAGAAATTTAGCAACCTGGATAAGAAATTCTACAGAGGACTGAAAAATCATGAAAAAGGAATATCTTGAAATCAGAATGCTCAATAAATAAAATCAAGAAACCCAATGGAAACACCACCAATAGAATAAGAAGACAAAAGAAAGAACACCAGGGATTGAAATGGGTCATTAGAACAGGTAGCAATAACTGAAAAGCTAATCACGACTTCAACATGCGAGGCCCCGTGATGCGATTAAGAGATGAAACCTACAAGTCTGTGGTGTAAAAGAAGGGGCATGAGATACAGACTTAAGGGACATCCGAATAAGGGAGGTATTTTAGAATATCCAATAAGGAGGGCAGAAAAGAACCTCTCTGTACTGTACTTAAGATGACGAGAGTGCAGAACAAAAACAGACTATGGAAAGCCTCAAGGCACAAGGGCCAACACTGGGGTAACCACAGACCTCCCACCAGAAACTCTAAAGGCAGAAGAGCACAGACTGATATAGTCTAAATCCTGACGGGAAGTAACGGCTAACCAAGATCACCCCCTCCACTAAAGTTAGCTATCCTTTAAAGTCAAAGGGTAGGACCAACAAGACAGCTCAGTGGGCAATGCATTTGCTGCACAAGCCTGACTGTGTAAATTCTATTCTCTGAGTCCTGTAAAGACAGAAGGAGAGGAGGGCTCTATAGAGATGTCCTGTGACCTCCACATAGGCTCCTTAGGATATGTATGCTTACACACATCATATATACACAGCAGCACAAAATTGAACTAGAAATAAAGTCCTTCCAGATAGGTATAAGCTAAAGCAACTCATGACTCAAATATTGCTAAAGCAATAGAGACTACCACAACAGTGCCAGAGATATTACAGGAGTATTACATACAGAAGGGGACGGAAAGTGTGCATAAGGGCTGCAGCTTGGGATAGAATAAATCTCAGTTGAAGAATTTGTGAAAAAATGAGGTCAGAATAAAATATTATCTTAGTAAACCAGCAAATCTCTAAGATGAATAACAGAGAAATTAGCAAACACCTCTCAACAGTAACAATAAATATTAAATGGCTTTAATTGTAAGTCATAGAACGCTAACCCCTGGCTCTACCCAGAAGGCACTTCTGCCTTGTTACTTTTCTATAATGTCCTTCAAGCACCTGAGCCTTTTCAAAACCAAATGCAGTGTCCCCCGAATCTTTTAGGATGCAAGGAGGGGCAGGGTAGCATTGGTATTGAGCACAAACTTTACAGCAGGAGAAACTGCACCAGTGGAGAGAGGAGGCGTGGGTCTGCAGTGGCTTCAAGTGGGTCTGCCCTGTCTCTGGCTTCTAGGTTCCTGGGCAGAATAACTATTCTCCTAAGACGGGGGATCTCCTGGGGCAGAAGCAGGGTGGTCTTCAGTAGCAAGGGAAAGCTGAACAGTGGTTTACTTACAGAGAGGAAGAAAGACAGCACGGCCAAGAAGGAAAGTAGCTGGATGCAGGGAAGTGAGGCAAAGAAGCCTTTATTAAACGCAAGCTGGTTTCCCCACAGCAGGTGTCCATCACCACGACGTCACTTCCTTAGAATCCACTGTGCTTGGTACAAACCAGACCCGGTGTATACAGTTTTAGGGGTGATGTGCTGTGGTTGGGGTAGGGGTGGGGTGGTGGGGGTCAAAGGACAGTCAGGTGTCAATCTTCAGGCACGGTGGGACCTCTGACTGCTCTGAAGCTTGTCTGGTAAGTGAGGCAGGCTGGCAAAACCCCAGGGTAGGACTGTGTGTGTGTGAGTGAGTGTGAGTAAGTACGTCTGTGTGTGAATGTGTGAGAGTGCAAGTATGTGTCTCTGTGTGTGAGTGTGTAAGTATATGTCTTTCTGTGTGTGAGTGTGTGTGTCTGTGTGTGTGAGTGTAAGTATGTTTCTCTCTGTGTGAGTGTGTCTGTATATGAGAGTGTGTGTGTGAGTGTGTGTCTGTGTCTCTGTGTGCATGTGTCTGGGTGTGTAAGTATATGTCTCTCTGTGTGTGAGTGTGTCTGTGTATGAGAGTGTGTGTCTCTGTGTGAGTGTGTCTGTGTGTGTGAGTAAGTATATGTCTCTCTGTGTGTGTGAGTGTATGTGTCTCTGTGTGTCTCTGTGTGTCTCTGTGTGTGAGTGTAAGTATGTGTCTCTCTGTGTGAGTGTGTCTGTGTGTGAGAGTGTACGTGTCTCTGTGTGAGTGTGTCTGTGTGTGAGAGTGTGTATATGAGTGTGTGTGTGTGTGTGTGTGAGAGAGAGAGAGAGAGAGAGAGAGAGAGAGAGCATGAGAGAGCATGAGGGAGATTCAAGACAAGGTTTCTTGTGTCCGGGCTGGCTTCAGATTTGCTGTGTGGCTCTATGAAAGATGGGGTGCTTAGGGGCAGGAGCAGCCTCCTTCAACTCTCAGGGAAGGACGAGGCTATTCCTCCAGTCAGATGAGCCATGGGCTGGCCAGCCAGTCGACATAGGGGAACACTTGGGTGTGCCTTTTAAAGACCCAGAGAACTAGGCCGGGTGGTGTTGGTGCACGCCTTTAATCTCAGCACCCAGGAGGTGGAGGCAGGTGGATCTCTGTGAGTTCAAGACCAGCCTGGGCTACAAGAGCAAGTTCCAGGACAGCCTCCAAAGTCATAGGCCCAGAGAACTGTCACAATGTGGTTAAAGATTGTTTACTTTTAGTGTTGTTTTGTGTGCCATGACAATTAGTCTCTAAAACGGTAAACACTTGGAGAAACACAGAGATGGTGCATTTAAAATGGGAAGCATTAACTCTGAGCTCCCTGTGTTCAACAGGTAGCCTACCAAGGCTCTCACCCCAAACAAATGCCACCTGTTTCTCTTTATCTAAGCCACAGGACATTAGAGAAATTTTATGGTCTCTTTATGATAGGTACCCCCCCCATTGCTTTCTCTCTTCCACAAACAGGTGCAAGAAGTTGACTGAAGGGTCTTTACATTATCATGCAAAGTTGCCCTTTGTGCATTTCCCACCATAAATAGCACAGCTGTAAGGTGTTGCCTTATTCAAATGAACCTAATAAAATGAAGTGGGTAGCCAGCATGCCTGCCAAGTACATTCTTCAGGTACTGTGGTTACCATACTTGTAATAAGACAAAGGACCACTAGACGGAGCTAGTGTTTAAGAAATCTCAGCTCCATCTGCGTTGGGGGGGGGCTGATGTTATCCAATGGGAGAAATCCAGCATTACCTTCAAGTCACAGCTTATGCCGGTCTTGCCCAGCCATCGTCTGCTGGCAGGAACCACTGCTGCTTGGGTTGTGTCCACGCAAGTAGATGAAAGGTGACATTTATAATGGCCCAAGTCATCTAGCCACTCTGACAATGACATTTGACTTGGCATTTCCCCCCAGGTTTATTTTTTATGAGTATGAGTGTTTTGCCTGCATGTGAGCATGTGTGCCACGTGTGTGCCTGGTGCCTGAAGAGGGCAGACAAAGGTATCAGATGCCTTGGGACTGGAGTTCCAGATGGTTTTGAACTACTGTGAACTAAGCCCAAGTCCTCTGCAAGGGCAGGCAGTGTCCTGAACTGCTGAGCCTTCTCTGCAGGCCCCAGTACAGACCCTTAAAAGTCAGTGTCTCCGTCCTCTGTCTGATTTATTTAGCGCCCTTGCCACAACTCCGAGGCAGTGCTTGGATGGAATTAGCTTTTGAGATTAGACTCTGAGACAGGGTGTCTTTGCAACCTGTTAAGGTGTTTCAGGAGGGTGAACCCAGGCGCCGGAGGCCCCAGGATCGGTCTTGTTCTTGCATTTTACTTTGGATCTTTGTCCAATCTGAAACTAACCAGTTAATAACCAATCCATCCCTCTGCCACACTCATAGCCCAAAGACAGGTGCGCATCCGGTGCAGCTGGAATACCCCTCTCCCGGGAGCAGGAGGTCGGAGTGGTTTCTTCCTGGGGCCTGTCTGAAGCTGTATGTGCCTCATCTGTGCCTGGTGGACGCTCCTCCAAGTCACGGTTACCGCTGGTTAATTAAAGTCTGGTATACTTTGGGAAGCCATCAGAGGCAGCTCGCCTCTTCGATGCTGGGCAGCCCGCTTGTTCCCGTTTTTTAACCTCACACACGTATCTTAAGAGGTTGTGTTTTAGTTGGAAACCACAATGTGCCAACTCATGTTTTGTTGTTTTTCTTTTTGGTAAAATGCTTGCTCTGTAAGGGAGGGCAACAACCAGGTGGGGAAGGGCCATTTATCAGCTGAGGAGGCTGCAGCCTTGTTATGGAAAAGACAAACCAAAAGGGCTCCCGGGGGATCTGAATCTGTCAGTCACCGGGCAAGCAGGCTCCCTTAGACACTTGGTTGATTCCTGGGGGAGCTGGATATGCAGGCTGAGAAACCGGGCAGGAAGCTGTTTGCAGAGCCTGGAGGTTGTTACTCCGGTCCGGAGCAGCGCAAAGGAACTCTTACCCTCATGTCCCTGAGACTCCTTGTAACCTTTTCGAGGCGCGGGGGCGTGGTGGGGACTTCACCAAGAAAGCTGCTCACCCTGATCTGCACCCAGCCCGAGGCGCACTCTGGACACACTTCCCGCTGCGCCCAGAGGGTGCCGCTGCAGTCCCAGCCTCAACTCGCGGATCCCGGCTGCGGTTGGGTCCCCGAGGGATGCTCGCCCTGTAGGGGGCGCCCTGGACTGACTGGTTCCCTCCGCCCACGGGAGGCGGCCGCAGCGCACCGAGCCCGGGGCACTCGAGCGCGCAGCCCGGCGGGCCGCAGCGGGGAGGTGCGGAGCGCGGCGAGGGCGGCTGCAGGAGTCAGTCGCCGCCCCTGCGCTCCGGGGCTGCGGGGCGCATGGGGCGCGGGGAGCTGAGAACCTTTGCGGGCTGCGCGCCCGGCCGCCTGCTGCGGTGAGACGCGGCACCGGACGCCCCCAGATCCCGGGCAGTCGGGAGGATGACCATGGCTGGGGGCCGGCGGGGACTGGTGGCCCCGCAGAACACGTTTCTGGAGAACATCGTGCGGCGGTCCAACGGTAAGTGCTGCTTCTGGATTTCGATTGCCCAGGCGGGTTTGGTTTTGTTTTTTTGTTTTTTCCTAAGGAGTGCTATGCTTGCAGACCCCTTCTGCTCGGTGCCGGCAGATACAGGGGCATCCCGGAGCTCTGCGCATCGTCCTCTCCTGCCTGCCGGCCCAGGAGGTGGGCAGGGTCGGAGCGGGGATGGGGTGGGGTGGTGGCTGGTGAGCCCCATCTCTGGAGGAGAGATTTCCAGGCGACGCCTTTGGGGCCTTTTCCGCGCCCTCCCGGTGCCCTCTCCAGGAAAGCCTGGCAGCTGGTGAGCAAAGTCCTGGGAAAAGTGGCTGTAGGCTGGCCACCTTCGAGCACTGCGCTCCCGATGCGCACTGCCCGCCTCCCCGCGGAGGCTCCCTTGAGTCCCAAGGTGCCAGGGAGGCCACAGCCAGCAACAGAGCCGGGCCACTCAGGTCCTGGCCCTGTCCGGGTTCGGGGATGTGCCAACTCCGCCTTCCATCCCTTAAGCTGGGAGGTCTGACCAGAAACGCAAGCTGTCTTAGTCCACCCTCACCAGCCAGCTGAAACTGATGGCTCGCGAGGGTTCGTTGGTTTTCCTGGACTCAGCTGGGAAGTGGAGGGCTCAGGCAGGAGCGAACTAAGTGGTCCCACGCACAAATCTGTTATATTTCTTCCCTTTAAAACGCGGCCAGTCTCGTCTTCCCTCACCCCCTGATTCTCCTCCAGTCTATCCATTACCCAGCAACCCTGAGCACAGCACGAGGTTTCCCTGTCTTCGCAGACAGCACGGAGCACGGGGATGAGAGGGTCAGACTGTGATGGAGAGGGAACAGTTTCCAACGCCTCTTAATGCAGGGCTTACAGTTTCCTGTGGTTTAGCATGAAACCCCGGAGGCGGTGAAAGTCTTCAGAGCAGATACCCAAAAGGAGCAATCCAAACCTTTCTGACCTGAGCTGAGCCTGCCACCTGAGCTGAAGTACACACACACACTCACACACACACACACACACACACACCACACCACACCCACCACCATCCCCCCACACCACACACACTCACACACACACTCACCACCATCCCCCCACACAGAGCTGGCATTGGAGAATTGCTACATACACCTGTTCACCAGGCTACCCAAATCCAAAGTGCTCCCAGCAGACTCCTAGGCTCCTCTCCTTCCCGAAGCAGGAGACTTTCTCCTGCAGAAAGGCCGTGAGGTCTTAATCCAAGAACTGTGTTTTGACCGTATAAACCTCAGGCGTGGAGCCTTGGAACTTGGCTTGAAACTGATGAGCTTCCAGATGAATTCAGTTAGGGACTCAAAGGCAGGGCACGAAAAGTGACCTCTGCCACCTAGACGTTCTCTTTAATTAAAAAGCAACTTGAGTTTGTAAGAAAAAGTCTATCCACTACAGCAGCAAATCTCACATGCTCCTTAAATACGTCTTAGAAATTATCCCACCTCTGTTGTGTGCCCCTTAAAGACAAGAGTACTCATTGGTTGACACCTTTCCCCCAAGGTTTAAAGGGCTGTTTAGAGCAAGGTGTGTGTGTGTGTGTGTGTGATAATTGCTAAACAGGCAGCCACGAGGAATGCTCCTACCACAAAATGCTGGAAGAGACTATGGGTTAAGTTAGTGTATTATTCCATTAACTGATCTGGTGTGGGCACCGTCTTGCAGATTTGGAGGCCCCACTGTGAGTGACATATAACTTCTGCACTAGCGCCGTGAGCATTAATGAGAAGTCTGTCTGTTGTAGAGGAGGCAGGGTCCTGTAAGTTAGAGGGGAAACTATCCGTGGTGTACTCTGTGGGCTGGGGCAGGAAGATGATGTGCAGGCTACAGTCAGGGCTGCTTGGGTTTATTGGGAAGCTAAATACTCCTACAACTGGTTAGTGGATCTTGGTGCCATTCCCCTGTGCGCCTATAGGGAGAAGGTCAATAAAGCAAGCAAGCCGCTTGGAGTATTTTTAGCTCTGGCCCTTGTATCTCAGCACCTGTTCCAACAGCTTGATTCCCATCAACTAAAAAGGAGCAACACAGACAAGCCCAAAAACCATGGAGGCGGGGGCTGGGGGACGGGGAGCCGGAAGGCCTCTTAAACATACTCTGCTTCAGGGTAGAGTGCTGACTTGAAATATGGAGTTTACAGTTTTTGGTGATCGTTTTTCATAACAGTCTCTGAATGTTGAATGACTAAATACTGTGAATGCTAGGAAGTATTTCAATATCTGCCTACATTGGAATTTACCTTTACATATTTATTGTCAGCTGGGAGGTGGTGGTGCACACCCTTAGTCCCAGCACTCGGGAGGCAGAGGCAGGCAGATCTCTGAGTTGGAGGCCAGCCTGGTCTACAGAGTAAGTTATAGGACAGCCAGGGTTATACAGAGAAACCACACACACACATACACACACACACACACACACACACAAATACACACACACACACACATACACACATACACACAGTTTCTTGAAACCTGGCAGCCTGTTTTTGGTTGTCACAACATTTTATTTACCTCTGAATAGCAGTACTCCATAATCACCTTATCAGGACTTTCACTCCAGTGGTCCTGTGGGATGTTTCCATTATTCATCTACAGAGCAGCAAACCCAGTCCTGTACTAAGCGGCCTGTTCACGGTGCCTGCAGCTGGTGTGCGTAGAGGGTGCCGTGGGTTTGTTTCAGGGTTAGGGATCAAAGCCAGGGCCTTGCCCTGTGCCACTGAGCTGAGCCCAGCTCTCAGACGGCTTCTTGTGGTTTTTATTTTTCCTCTGCTCGATGAGCCTTGGTTGGGAAATGTTTCTGTCATCTCTAGAAGAATGGCTGAGAGAATGTGAGAGGGGTTGGAACCATCCTTGTTTTTTTTTAAAATATTTATTTATTTATTATGTATACGGTGCTCTGCCAGCACGGATGCCTACATGCCCGAAGAGGACAGCAGATCTCATTGCAGATGGTTGTAGGCCATCATGTGGTTGCTGGGAATTGAACTCAGGACCTCTGGAAGAGCAGCCAATGCTCTTAACCACTGAGCCATCTCTCCAGCCCTGGAACTGTCCTTGTTTGGGGTGCCTGGAGGGTGTGGTGTTTGGAATGTCCCCGAGCCGCAGAGGAGACGTAGATGCAGCCTAGTCTGAATGCTTCCTCACCACCGTGCGGATGGGGATGGCTCCGGCAGCCCCTCTACACTTGGAAGGGCACACGTGAGGAGATTCCCTCAAAGCTGTGTAGAGTGCACCGCCGAAGCAGCGTTCCTTGTGACACTATTGCTCACGCAAGAAGCAGATTTCCCGGTGGAGATGAAACAAAACGTTATATCAACAGGGACAGCACCCATGTCGGCCAGCAGCCACACGGCCGCATCCAAACAGAACAGCAGGGCAGAGGAGAGCCCAAGAACATTCAAGAAGCTCAGGGCTTTCCACCTTTGCAGGGTGAGGGGCTCCTGTGTGTGTGTGTGTACCCCCCCCATGGAACCTGGGTCACTTTCAGGGGCCTGTGCACCCAAGGATCCAACAGAAGGAGGACAGGCTCCCCTGTAATGTCAAGGAGCCAGGAGTTCTATAAATAGTTCTCCATAGTAAGAAGCAGACTCCTCGAAATGGGTGGGTAGAGTGGGGTCCGGACAGAGGGTCATAGTGATTTAATGAAGATTTACTGGACCCTAGGGATAGGTGGTAACGAGAAACCCCCTTTCTCTTAGTTAACTTTGCTGTGTGACTTTCCCTGGGGACGTGATAGGCCCTGACAACAGACCAAAATCTGGAGCCTATCCTAGTCTGTGAGTTTGTAGGTGCCTGGACAAGGGGTTAATTACTAAAGCACAGGTGACCCCCAAATAGCTGAGTCACCAAGGCCTTCCCCAGCAGGGCTGATCATGAGAACACTGCTTCCTCAAGTTCCACCTCAGTCTTCCCTCCTGTGAACTCCATGTTCAGCAGGGACATGGGTCTGGGCGGAGTGGCCCATTTCTCTGATGGGATAGTAGTAGGCTGGACCTTGTGAGGGTCTCTGAGGTGATCCCATTTGCTGTAACTTCAGGCCGTGTGGTGCCTGATGTTCTGGAAGAATGCCACACCCAGGCGAATCTTGATCCAAGCTGTTGTCCCTGTTCTACTGCAGTGACCGGCACCAGTGCTTGCTTAGGCCTCTCGGTAGATTAAGAAAAACACTTTAAAGTGTTTACGGAAAGCCAGTTTAACTTTCTTGGGTTGATTTAGAGTGGACTCTGAAGGACAGATTTGATCAGTATCTATGCTTTGGGTTGTGAGCGGTCAGGGGGAATGATCAGCACTTCACAGTTGATGAGAGTTTGGTCATGATTGCATCAACCATCATTTAAAACCCTACTGGTGAGCTTGCAAGATGGCGCAGCAGGGCAAAGAGCTGGTCAGGCAAGTCTGGTGGCCTGCGAGAGACCTGCAGTGGAGGAGAAAACCAGCTCCTAAAAACTGTCTCCTGGCTCCACATGCACTCTGTGGTACACACACACACACACACACACACACACACACACACACACACACACACACACACACAGATACACAGATACACACAGACAGACACACACAGATACAGAGATACACACAGATACATACACAGACACACACAACACACACATACACAGACACACACACACTTTCTGTGCATGGCTGAAAGTCGTTTTCCACAACAATTTGGACGATTGCTTAAGTGTGCAGGCACCGTTGTCAGAAACTTGCTGAAGCAAACAGGAGATCTGTCCTAGGAAGGCTGGCGAACCTCGAGGTGCCAGGAACCTCGGAAACATTATTCTAGACGGCCCCGTCCTCCGCAGAACATGTGTTTTAATGTTTGGGAACCTATAGCTAACAGTTGTGGGTGCCGGCGACACTCTGTCCACGTCAACAGGAAGGGAACGTAGCACGTTTTGGTGCAGATTTGCGTACATGTGCAATTTACAGACTGCTAAGTCAGCTGTGTTTGTGTACAGTGTTACGACGGCTCAGGTTGTT